ACATTGAGCCTGGTCAGAGCAGCCCTGGGCTGCTGCCAGGCTTGACTGCTCTGACCAGGCTCAATGTGCTGCCCACAAATAAACTCTGGAGCAATGTACTCCAGAGTTTATTCATGTACATTAATTGTGCATGTAGATGCACCTGTTCAGTCCCAGATTGTTTGCTATTGCAGGTCTGTTCCAGGGAATGGAAGATGTTGCAGAGTGACCTGTCAGAGAGCAAGTGTCACCTTCATGATTTCTCCATGGGTTCTCCGCCTCAGTTTGTACCTGCACCCCAAATGGGTTCATCCCTCTCCTCTTAGGGTGATAATAAAACACTAGCATTGGTCTCCTTAGGTTTTCCAGCAAAATAGACAGTCTACTCCATATAAAGATGATAAAGTGATGGGTATTTCCTTTGAGGTTTTTTTTTTTTTAATCACTGGTAGACCCTGACGTGAAACTTAAGTAGATGGATTACAGTAGCCATGTCTCATGGTAAGGCTACCATGCTCAGCAGAAGTGCCATCAGGCAATCCTGCTCTGGACAAGTGCCTCATAGACTGGAAGCAGTATAGCTGGATGAATAGATGCTATGAGTGGGTTAAGTAGTATTGGGAGCAGAACCCTCAGGGACCATAAGCCACCCATAGAAGCCAGCAGTCTAGGAAACCTGCTTATAAGACAAATATATATGTCTTCACTATTTATATAAGGCCAGGCTGTGGCTAGGTGTGCAAGTAGGTACAAAGAACTCTCCAGCCTTTCCTAGCACATGGAGCCTTCATAAATTGAAGACTTAGAACCCCAAGCACTAGAGTCCACAATGGCAGTGAAACAAGAATAGTGAAACTGAACTGACCCAAGGGCAGAGAGGATGCTGGCTGCCAGGAGGATATCAGTGTCAGTGCTTTAATGTGTGAGTTCCTAGCACCTCTAAATAATGCCCCCTTGAATGATCCCCTAGATTACCAACTCTCTGGGCAGATCTACATGTGACTATTAACGTGCAGCCAAAGCTCTGGAGCTGATTGGTGCTATCATTCATTTGCTTGTGCACCTGGACTACAGCACATTGAGCTGGGTTGGAGCAACCCCAGCTGGCAGAGGATCCGGGGGGTTATCCTGCCAGCCTGGGGCTGCTCCCACTAGGATCAATGTGCTACAGAGGGGCTGGCTATGACACAAGGGTGCTTCAGCACAGGGCTAGGCAGCATGTAAGACCCACATTGAAGCACCCTCATGCCCCAACTAGCTGGGTCAGCATCTAGACGTGCACTGCCGTGCACGAAAAATCTCTGAAGCAGGGTAGAACTTGTTATTTACAACCACTACTGTGTTGTGGGGTTTATTAGTTTCCTGCACCCCGATAAGGGTGCACAAATAGATGCTGAGATGTTTACTGTGCAGTTAATTAGGCAATTGTGCAATAAACATCTCTGGTAGAAATGCCCTGTGTAGCACTTTTCTACCCCTTCCCTTTTCAGTTTGGGCTGTGGTCTTCATTCTCTAGTACTATCTTGTTATTTTTATTATTGTTTATTCATTTATTTGT